ACAATACTCTTTTTTTTTGGTTATAATAAACAGAAAATAAGGGAACCAGATTCATGCACATTTGTAGATATATTTGTTGGTGAGAAGATGAGACAGTTCTCTTCTGATTACATCTATTTACTAGGGAAAGTTTACCAGTTGAGTGTGGGAGAGGTTATTATTGGTTTGAACAGAGGGAAGGTGTAATATAGCAGTTTTCATGAGAGGAAAAACACATTTACTGTGGAAATATGCAAAGAATAGGAAATGTCAAGAGTCCATTTAACCTTTACAATCATTAATTTAAAGTGAGGCTAGTCCGTGTGGCAGTCATATTCTTTTTCCAGACAAGTTCTCCTTCTTCAGTGAAGATCTGGTGTAGGTGGAATTGAATCTATGCTCGGGTGAAGTAAGCATAGTTTCCCTTTATAAATGCTGCACTTCCCAAACCAAAGGAGAGCTTCACCCCTCCCTTTGTCTTCTTTTATGTGTATTGGTAGTAAGGTGGTCAGTGGCTGTAGTGCTGGTTGTGCTGAAAAGCACCTCCCAGCAAACCCTGCCTGACCCCATAGCTGGTTGTACTCTGAAATTAGAATGAGGACTAATTAGCACTTTTGGTTCTCAGCTGTGGGCGTAGTTGCCATATGTGAGAAAATAGGAGTGAACCCACTTTGAACCTTACGGCATCTATACATCTGTCTGCAGAGACAGAACATGAAGATGCACTTAGATTCTATTCTGCCTGGTGAGATTCTAGCTCTAGGGCTTAGAAGGGTAAGTCATCCACCTGACCTGTGGGTTATATCAATATCCCCCTTTATATTATCAATATCCCACCTGTTAGCAGATTTGAGTAGGTTTCTGTGCCTTGCAAATAAGCAATCACTGACAGATCAGTTTCCTCATCTATATAAATGAAGAGAGGTTTTCAAATTGCGCACCATGGAGCCCAAGTTGTCACACACGCTTATGAGCACAATGGAAGAAGTAACAAAAAAAAAAAACAGACCTCCTGGTCCCGTTAGCCCTTTCACCTCTGACCCCCTATCACCTGTGGGGCTTTTGTTAGGGATTTTGCTCAAAAAGGGTTCTATTTTAAAAATTAACATAAAACCTACTCTTCCAGCTCTTATACTGTATAATTCCATAGTGTAGATTCATTTATACATATTTTTGGTGTTAGTACAACTTCAAATTATAATACGAGGTTAGGTTTGAAATCATTTCCCAGGTCGTATGTCGGGGCACGTGTCTATCATTGCGGTATGGTCATCATAGACCCCCAGCTGATCTTCCTGGTTCTCTGACTCTCAGATGTTGTTGAGTCACTCACTGCCTGGTCCACCTGAGGTGCAGAAGTGGGTGTTGATTCTAAGATCAACAGCTTCCTTTCCATTACAATTTTGGCGCCTATGTTTCTTTCCCTTCTCTCTCTTCAGTGTGGTTTACAAATACAGCCATTTTGCTGAGGGAGCCTCATTTCAACGGATTAACAAGCTCATGTGATCTCATCAGTTCAAGTTTTACAGCTGCGTGACCTGGCAACTTGTCCTTGGCCCGGTTCCAATGGGCATCCATTAATAATTCTGGGAATGTCACATACTCAGTAGCAATAAATGGGAGGCCTGGCCAGATGAAAAGGTAGAATTAGCTGAGAAGAAGAAAGTACTGAACTTTAGCCTCAGGTCATGTGTAATGGTCATGTCAGTGATTTATTAATTTATTCAATTATAGGATTATTTTCAGCAAATAAGAGATGAAATAATTTATTACTTCTTCAAAGGGCCTCTTCATAACATCTGGAAAAATTGGCATGAAGAAAGAGGACTTCCAATTAACCAAGTAAACTTAACATTAAATCCAAACTAGGATTTCAACTATCACTTTTACTTTGAAGACTGGTGTTAGAGAAAGGAGCTACTATGTCTTGTTCATTTTTTTGGAAGAAAATTCCAGACTTAATGTTATCAATGAAAATTACATATTTTTGTTATTTGTATTTTTAATTTTATAGATCCCATGCTTAATAGGCCACATTTCTTACAGGCTTTCTCAGACATGCGGTCTAAGTCTGAAAATTGGAGCAGAATCATAAATTTTTTTGTCTTAAACATTAAATGTAACTCATTATTAAAATAGTAAAAGGACATCATTTTAACAGTTTTTATTTTTCTTGTATTTTTATTTTTTGGCTCAACTCATTAAAAAAACATTTTGTTGATTGTATTACAGTTGTCCCAATTTTTCCCATGTGCCCCTCTGCACTGTCCCCCCACCCCCAAGTCCATCTCCACATGGTTGTCCATGTCCATGGATCATTCACACATGCTCTTCCACTAATTCTGTCTCCTTCTTTCCACCATTATCCCCCTCCCCAAGTCCCCTCTGGCAGCTATCAGTCTGTTCCATGTTTCCATTATAAGATCACTATAGAGGAAATGCTTAAAACAAACAAGCAAACAAACAAAACCTTCAGGCAACTTCCTTTTGAGCAGAAAAGGAGGCCGTCTGGGGAAGGCAGGTGTTGCCTCGTCAGCAGCTTTGCTAGGTGCTGTCTGCTGTGCTCCAGGGAGGCTCTGTGTGACTGTCCTCCACAACTGTGTTGTCTAAGAAGTTTTATTTAAAAAATAATCTTACCAAAGGGACAAATACCTTTTCTTCCCACTACCCTAAACCATATGCCTTTCATAGTTATGTTTGTGTATGCTGAAACAAAAAACCCCACACCGCATCCCTTAGCAACTGAGATATTGCAAACAGCCCACACACACTCTTTTTGTCCTGGTTAAAAAATCTGCTTCTCCTGTAGAAATCCCTATCTTGTTCAATGGCATTTCTTTAAGTCATGCAAGGTAGCAGAATCCTAGAAATCCCATTCTAAATGTCTTTTTCCCCTTCTCGCCTCATAATCTATTGGTCATGAATTCATGGAAATTCTGTCCTCTACCTTATTATATTAGCTCTACTCTTTTATCCATCCCCTCTGTCATGACTTCCACTTAAGAACGTATTGTCTCCGTCTGGGGATATTGTGTTGTGTCACTCTTTCCGCCTTCCACCTTGCCCCCACCATCAAATCCATCTCTTGGATAGTCTAGAGAGAGATCTTTCTAAAGTGCAAATATGATCATGTTAAGCTCCTGTTTAAAGTTTTATCGGAGGCTTCCCCACTCCCTGAAACACAAAGTCTAAACTTAGTTTTGTGTCATACAATTACTTTATTGACCTATCTGGCTTGTGTCTTCAGCCAGTCCGGTACTTCCTTCACATTCTCTAAGACTTTATTTAAGACCATTTGCTCACTGTGCTATGTACCTTCCTACTCAATCTGAAGGACTCCTACTTATATTTTAATACCAGGCCAAATAGTTCCTCTTCTTTTGGATCAGTTTCAAACCTTCCTTACTTTGCCCTTTGAAATAGAACTGGCCATTTTTTCCCTTAGTGATACCAGTTAAGTCTAGAATCCATTGCTGTGCTAAAATTGTCTTCGCTTTGAGACTGTGAGTAGGGACTAAGTCAGTTTTATCTTGATATATCCTCTGCCTAGCTCTGGGCTTGGTATATATATGGGAGGAGCTCTACAAATGTTCATAGAGTGAACAAATGGAAATCCAAGCTTATACTAAAATATATTTGTTCTTTTTAAGACTTCTGTTTATAAAAGTATTGCACAACTATTGTAAAAATTTTGGAAAAGATACAGAGTGGATGATCTAGTTTTCAACAGCCTATGAGTACAAACTGACTCTTAATGTATTGTGCTTTACTTACAAAGCTTTTGTAAGTCTAACTTTCTCTTATTACTTGGGATTATCCAAAGGGTTTTTTCTGTGTTTCAGAATAGGCCTGTTGTTAATACGACAGCTAACAGAGACAGGACTCCAATAACCAAGCCAGAACTCAGCTGTTGTCCTTGAAAGCTTCATTAAAGTGCCACTTCAGGTTGGAACCCTGTTCCCAAGCTGCAGCCTCTATGATGCCTTGGTCCCGGGAAGGATAAAACTTGACTTCTTCCTCTCACTGCTGGAGATGCTGACATTTTGCCATCTTGCAGTGCGGGTGAGAGCACTGCATCTCAGAGCTGGTTGGTTGTATGTGTCATGCTGAGTTAAGTGGGTCCATAGTCCCCCTGCTGCATCTGGTTTGTACTTCTAAAGCCCAGGATTCCTTTTTCTTTTGTGAATTATTTCTCCAGGGCACTATTGTCTTCTGTTTCTAATTGTGCTACTTTCAACTCCTTCCTTCAATAGCTGCAGACAGGTCTCTATAAATCTGAGCCCAAACAGTGCATAGACTTAAATTCATACTCCAGAAATCTGCTTAGCTTCTATGAAATAAGTATCCTTTGTAATGGAACAGCAACAAAAAAAACCAGACTCCACTCAATGAATATACTAATTGTTTTTCCTAATTTGTACCATTAACTCTATTGCCATTATAATAAATGATTTACCCACATAAAAGGGAAGGTTTGTGTTTAGTTTTGATAATTTTGAAAAACCTCTGAAGTTTGTTGGGTTAGAGAGTCCTGATAGTAGATGTAGAGAGTGCTCTTCGGGGAACTGGTTCACGGCCTGTTTTTGCCAGTAGGCTAAGAGAAGTTCGACTAAGTGGTATGTAACTCAGATGGAGAAAACGAACTTGACCTTTTCTCCTGAATACCTTGAATTTTATTTTGTCTGCCTGTGTATCTGTATTATTCTGTTGCTTTACTTGTGCTAGACATAATCTGCATAATTTTTGGTGAGATGGTCCATGAATCACACCCTATTTACCAGAGAATGGGAGTTCTTTAACAACAATCATAAACCCTGGATATACCTGTGTGGTAGATTCAGATAATATATTTTTTCATGGCTCATGATACCTTTTAATGAGTAGTAAGTACTAGGATTTCAAAGTCCTTTATTATTCATAATGTTATGCAGTATGACAACTCAGATATGATTATTTAACTTTACTGAATATAGGGAATGTGCTGAAGATTATTTTTATTTCTTGCTTTGAATCAACTCTGAAAGGAAGTACACATATTTCAAACTCATCACTCAGAAAGTAAGAGATACATTAAGACCGTCTGTGGTCATTTTATTAAACAAATACAAATTTGAAATGTTTATGATCAAATATATAAAATTTGAACAAAAATGTTGTAAACAGTGATCCTACAACTGGGAAGACATCTCAATTTTATTAATATTTGTGACATCTTCCCAACCATGTCTAATCTTCAGTATCTTCTTTCTCAAGCATGGCAGGAATAGTATGGCTTTACATATCAGGACAACAATTGGAAGGAAAACAGCTATCATAAAAGTTGGAGGTGTATACCATACAAATTGTTTTATATCTACCCATTTATTCCAGGCAAAAATCAATGCATGTATTGTGCCCAGTAGAAGGGAAACAATTCCCAGCTTGCTCTGCAAAAGAAAAAAAAATTCTCTTGGTAAAGATTAGTTTGATAAGAGTTTATTCTATCCTACTTCATCTGGATCTATTCTGTTGCTTAGGAATTCTTTCATTCATCTGTAATTGTTTTCCTATTACATTTCTCAACAATGTCCACTCACATCTTTTCATTCTTTTTTATATGGCTGCATGTTACCCCTACTTGAGGGTAATGCCTTCATCTCTAGGCTATTTCAGTTAAGAAAATGTACAACCATACTCCTTTCAGCTAATCCACAACACTGTCTTCCCTTTCTCCACACTTTGTTCATCTCTTTCATGACATTTATTTTGTGATGGTCTGTCTCGTGCATTTGCCTTAATTCTGCCTACCAAGAGACATCTAAAATCAGGGACTCTGTCTTTCCCAGCACAGGATCCCTACAGAATCAACACAATGATTTGTGCATTTTAGGTGTTCAATAAACAGTGCTGGGTTGACTGAAGATTAGTGCAAAAATCAATTCGACTTCAGTGATCTTTATTAATTAATTGTGAAGGCAACTAAAGTGATTGACTCTGATTTTGGTTTGTGAATACTAAAGTGAATGAGCTTGGCCTATGTTAAAAAAACCCCAAAAACCAAATATTCTGATAAAGTGGAAAAACAGCAACAATTATTTCAATGTTTGAACAAAACAGACATGAAAATGTCAAAAAAAATTTCAGCTCATATTGGGATACTCGGCACCACCCTGATAAAGTTGCTTAAAAATAGTTGTTCATCTAAATAATTCTATGGCATCCTGGTAATAGCTCTTCTAGAAAGCTTTTGACTGCTTTTCACTTCCTGGAAATGGTCATTAGCCTGCCAGAACAAATCCAACTCATAATTATTCAGTAGTAAGTACTCTTAAGCTCCAATGAATATAATCCAATAGTTATGTTTCTACTTTCAGATATAACTCTCCAATGTAGATCGGAGAGTAATCAGTTCTTGGATTGTAAATGAAAAGTTTCTAGGTTATTAAAAAGTACATGTGACTGGTGGAAGATTAAATTTACCAAATGTGTATTGTATACTTATTATGAGCTAGGTGTTGCGCACATAGTGAAATGGGCCCAGTCCTCAAGATGCAGTGCTTGAATTACTGATGAAATTTGAAAAGTGGTGTTCAGCGTCTGTGTGACAGTCAGAGCAATGACAGAAGAAAGTTGTTTCTTGGGCAACAGAGAACTTTGTTGGCTATCAGGCTGAACCTACAAAGTTAGCAAATACTGCATTTGGCAAATATGGCACCCTCTCTAAGCCACGTTGGAATAATTCGGATGAAGACATATTTTTTAGCCTCATCAGATGTCCTGGTAAAAGTGTTTGTAGGAGTATATGTAGGAACATGCAGAAAGGATAGTGGGGAATGTCTGATTTTGTGGGAATTTCCAAAGACATCTACCCATACAAACTAAAGCTATGTGATTTAAAAAATCTTGGTAGAGCTTATGACTTAATTAAATTGAGTACTTTGAATCTTATTTGACATCGATCCCCCTGTGAATTCTGGCATGTAAATCTTTTTAGGGTGTAATTTACTACTAGGAGATTAACCTTAGCAAATCTGAAATAGCCTGAATTCCAAGGATATTGAGAAGCAATAGTGAGTAAGCTACATAAAATGTAACTTGGAAAAAAGCAGCATTTAAAATTAGGTATTAAAATACCTTTGGTAGATAAAACTCCGTATTTCAAAGAGAGATGACTTTTTATGGATAGTACAATGCTGTGTAACTTAAAAGGCATGTACAAAATTAGGCAATAGGCAAGAGAGTATTTTTATTTGGGGGGAACTAAAAAAACATAAATATTAAATTTCTAAAATATCACATTTATAATTATTAGATGTGTAGCAAATTGTCTAACAAATTAGAAATATTAGAAATATTTTCCTTTGAGTAATGCCTTTTATCTATGTCTAGAGAACACTCCTATTTAGCGGCAATAGGGACAAGTGATAGGTGAGCACATTATTAATTGAAACAAGTGTAAGATCTTTGTTATTGGAAAACCATTTGTTATTATTACTATTTTTTATCCTCACCTGAGGACCCTTTTTTCATTGCTGTTTTAGAGAGAGAAGGAGGGAGAGAGAGAAACATCAATGCGAGAGAGAAGTTTGGTTGCCTCCTGTATGTGCTGGGACTGGGGATCAGCACTGTGTCCAGGATCTTATGTGTTTGGACCAGGAGTCACACGTACCTGTGTCTAGACCGGGAATCGAACCCACAACCTTTGTTACAGGACGATGCTCCAACCAACTGAGCCACACTGGCCAGGGCCATTTGTTATTTTTTTACAGGGTAAAGTCAATATACTTGATGCTATTATAAGCACAACCAGAAGATTTACCTCTCTGAGGGAACAGAATCATTTTATATATTGTTTACCTGAATATAGTGAAATTCTCTCCACGTCAAAGAGTCACTCACAGATGGAATTGATGTCACAGCCAAGAGTGCCAGTATTGCAAGTGTCACAATTCCCAGAGACACGTAAATTTCCATTCTCCAAACATCATGCTCAATCCAGGCATCTTCTTTATTTTGTTGGACCTACCAGAGGGTGAAAAAGAGGATAGAACGTAAAGAACATTTAGTTCCTGTATAACTTCTATACTCCCTCTGGCCACTGTGGAGGGCCTGATAACTAGGGGTCTCTACAAAATTCTAACTTGTTTTTGCATTTCTCTAAAAAAATGACATAGGAGCTGTTAATCACTTTCCCTGAATACAACATTGATATAATCTACTTATATAATAATTTAATTGTTAGAATTATAATGTGCAGGCACATGTGGTAAATAAGCACAAAATAAGAAAAATTACTACTAAAAAGTAATTTTGTGAGGGTGGTAGAAAAATGGAAATGTTAGCCTGTCCATGAACAAAGTATTTGTTTATGTTGTTAAAGTTATAGTTTACTGCTTTCAGCTTAAAATCAATTCCTCAATGTAAAGCTATACAAGCAAGCCCCAATATAATAATAAAACATTTTAAAAATGCAGATTATGTGCTCAAACAGAGTTTCAACAGGGATTTGAGGTATGGATATTAACACGACCAAGAGTTAATCTGTGAGGTGACTTGGGCTTTCTGGTATAGTGATATTGTCAATCTCGTTATCCTACCTGTTGATATGCCCAATTTAGCAACTTGTATCTGTAGGATCTCCTCATTGGATAGGATAAACTATAAATTGCATGCAGTACAGCAAAAAAGAAACTGAGAAGCCCAAATTGCTTTCTTGTTACCATCCACCTGTCCAGCCAATGTGGAAATTTCTTATACTTGGTTCCATTACGGAGCTGTACAACTGCTGCTATCACACCTGGCAAATACACCAGCGCCAAGAGGGTGATAGAAACCATTGGCAAGACTTTGTTGATGACCAGGATTGGAATTTTATAAAAATACTGTTGATGGGAAGTTACAAAAGGGTGAATTACTTCCCTCAGGAAAGTGTAAAGAAAAGTCAGAGATGATACAATAGCGGCAATTTTAATCGGCAAGCGCCACTCTGGGAAGAGTTCCTGTTTGTGCTGAAACTTTTGCAAAAGCACAGGTCCTTTCAGCATGCTGGTCTCTCCTGAGGCCTTATTCTACAAAGAAAAGAAATAAACACCTTAAAATTAAAACAATGGGATTTCCTTAAACTAATTACTTATTGTTCATTGTGCTTATTCAGAACCTTGCTTTTGGATACTATTTAGCTGAAGAGATGGTATAGTTTATGTAGCACTGATCTAAGGTTCTCTTAGCTACATTGGGGATCTCCATTAATTTTTGTTACTCAATTTTCAAAATAAATACATTCTTCAGATATCTCCACTAAAGGGTAGGTCACTGTGTTTATCTTCAAGGCATAAAAGGATTAAAAATAATGTAAATGGGAAACTAAAATGGAAAAACAAACAAAAAATGTGGTAATCTTTGGTAAAAATAATAAACATAATTTTCAACAGCTATGTTTGTTTTTTAATATTTTTATTGCTTCCTGGGTAACTCTTGGCAAAGAAGGAAGAGTGAATTCCTCACTAATTCAGATACAGAAGATCAGGAATAATACAGTCATTGCTAAAAGAAAAGAACTATAATTTCTATCATGTAGTCTTATACTTTGATTTTATATTCCTAAAATATTTCAGTTGTGTAAATACTGGCAGACAAATAGTCTATTAGAAGTACACAGGCTATATGAGCAGTTAAATCCCACCGGGATAATCTATTTCCTGAGAAAGTTACCATTCTTTACCCAGTTGTATTTCTAGTTAGTTACAAAAGAGGGTTTCTTTGAATGTTTTGTCATTTCCCTAGCTGACTCATATATCAGCAGATTAAAAAAAAACAACCCTCAAACTGAGAAATTATATCAGGGTATTTCATATTGTGTTACTTTATGACTAAATTGACTTTCTCATCCAATATGTTATTCCTCATTTTTTATAGCTCTATTTGTAGCACCATAACATTTTAATGCTCAAAATATTAGTGGCTTTTTTGCTCATTTCCTCATTTTATGCATGGTAACTTTACTTCACATAGTTCTCTATAATTTTAGGTGTTTAAAAATGACCTCTCACCACTTGAATTTTACTTTTGGTAATAAATCACTGTTACATCCAGTACTTTTTTCCAATTACTCCATTTAGAAGGGAGTTGAGCATGATATAGCATTTCTCATTTCTTCACATCAAAACAATCTGAGTACTATCAACTGAGATCAATCTTCTGGTTAAAGGTAGAGAGTTATGAAACAGTAAGTAGGACAGTGAACTTGAAAAGTAAAAATGATTTTATTGTACTTTTTTAGGCACAGCTAAAGTTTTAATGGAATCGCTTTGGCCCAAGCAGAGGCAGTTCCCAGGTGACTCGAGTGTGTACGAACCCCAAGAAACTGGGGGATTTCTCTGGGTCACCAAAATGATTTTATTTCTGCATAAATTTTTATAGAGTATGTGCTTATAATATCTTAATTATTTTTCTCATTACAGTAATTAAGGTAAAATAAATTTCTGTTAAAATTGCAGTTGAGACCATTTAGGAAGGTAAAAAGAATTTGAAACCCCAAATTCCTAACACTTTTTCAGTTAATAATGTAGTCAGAAACATTTACTCTTGAGTGGGGCAAAAGTAGGACCAGTGATTCTTATTCTAAAATTGAATTTATTTGGTTAAACAGTGAATCATTAATTAACTTGATGACCTCTTGGTAAGCCGCCATGGTACCTATTAAACAATGCAGGCTTGCAAAACTACTGTTACATGGGCATTGGTGATTCTTCTGAAACACTCATAGAATGTTGGAAAAAACTGGAAGGGCTCTGGAGATGATATGGTCCAACTCTCTCACTTTACATATAGACCAAGACCCAGGATTTTCAGTGACTCATTCAAGGTTATTCAGCTAAGTCCATGGCACTCAGTCAAGGTATAATTTCTCTCCTATATGACACTGCCCTTCACCCATCACAATATCCGTGGCATGAATCAGAGTGAAAGTATCAGCAGACTAAGGTGAAAAATCACTTTAACTACACTATGAGCTACAGAACAGCATTTGAGTTATGTTTATAGATTTTAATTATTGTTATTTTACCAAATAATCGTCGTCTTCTAGATTTCTCCTAGGTTTCATTTTCCAAACTTCTTGGTTTGTGATGTTTTGTTGAATTTCCATTAATTCTATAAAATATGGCTTCAGCCACCTATGAAAATAAAAAATAATTGTCTTATTCAAGTCTATGCTCGTTATGATATTGTTTGATAGGGCAATATGAACAATTTACTCAAATAAGGTCTAGAGGGGCAGATAAAGTGCAATTAAAATACAGTTGATGACTGATTTACACATTTAACTTCACATTATAATCCGTACGAGTCTCAAACCAGGCCCCTTGTGCCAATAGCAACTGCTTTGCTTTGTTCAAGTAGCCTTATGGCATTTGACCCAGGTGTCTATACAGAACACAAAGGGTTGGGCATTGCCCTTCATTTCAGGTGCACATTTAAAGGAAAGCCAACTCCCCTCAAAGGTCAACAGAATTAAGAACTCATTTTTCTGAGAGTAACAGTGTTATCACATAGAGGCTGGAGTTAGCTGACATAAGATTCTATCTCAGGAAGTTGTATTTAATAGGCTTTCGGTGTTGACACTAGAATCTGACACAATAACAACATGATTTTATGGGCCCATGTATTTGAGTTTCAGACAATTAACAAAATGGACACTCTTGGTAAGGTGAACCCTGATAGTGGCATAAAGGACTGAAAGGTGGTATTTTCAGAGTCATTTCCCCATTGTAGTAACACTCATTTTTGTTGGTAAAACATGAATTGCTGGTATATTTCCACTGGGGTTGTTGAGTTGTGTTCAATCACTGACATGCTCCCTGTCCTGGTCAACCCTGTGGAAATTCATTTTGTCAAACTTCCTACCCTGTAAAGGAATCTTCTCCTTAACACCCATCACAGATCCTCATTTAGGCTTGGGGTTTTTAGGAAAGAGAAACATAATGTCATAATATTACTCACTGTTCTAAAGCTGTTTTCAGACGAATACATTGCCAATTTGTACATACTTACTGAAATTCCATGAAAAAAGCAGATTAGATACACAACAATTTGATCGAGAGAACACAGTCCAACTGTTTCTGAATTTTAGATCACCTACAATACTTCATTAACTGGAAAGTTGTTTTCAGGAATATTTTAAAGTACTTAAAAACATTCTCCAAACTTTTAAAGGTTTGATCTTCACAAAGAATACAGAAGAGCCATCTTTACAGAATGCCAACTTGCCTTTGTTGACATTCTCCATATATTAGTTATTTTGAAATTTCACAATATTCATGCTGCGAATATTTGTTGTTTTTGGTCTGCCCACCTTCTTTTCCCCTTTAAAAAATTATATGAAACATTTCCTCCATTTGGAGAAATGTGCCCCCCTCTCCCCCCACACACACCTTGACCATAGATGCCGGCATATGACTTACTCTGTGCTAATCACAGTGCTCTATTCCTTTGATCACACTGATTGGTTTAGAAATGGCACATAACCCTCGTTGAACCAGAAGAGTCCTTCTTTGAGATTTACACATGGAAGTGAAGATAAAGAGGATGTGTCTAACATTTTAAGTGGTTTACATGCTGTAAGGAGAAAGATGTCTTTAATAAAACAGAAGAAAACTCAAACACAGAAGCACAAGCAAGAAATAGGGACACAGAGGAGTACTCGTGGTATATTTTAAGAATTTAGAGTCCCTGAGACTAGATTCTGAATTTTTCAGTTACACAAACTGATACATTCCCTTTTATTGCTTAAGTTAGTTTGAGCTGGTTTATAACATTGGCATTTGAAAAAGTTCTGAGTAAGGTATATGCCAATCAAAGTACACAAATGGAACTACATCCAACTAAAAAGTTTTTGCACAGCAAAGGAAAACACCAACAAAATAAAAAGACAACCCACGGAATGGGAGAACATATTTGCCAATACTTTTGATAAGGGGTTAATATCCAAAATTTATAAAGCACTTACAAAACTCAACACCAAAAAACCAACAACCCAATTAAAAAATGAGCAAAGGACCTGAATAGACTCTTCTCCAAGGAAGACATACAAGTGGCCAATAGACTTTTGAAAAGGTGCTCAACATCACTAATAATCAGAGAAATGCAAATTAAACCCACAATGAGATGTCACCTCACATCTGTCAAGAAGGGCTGTGACCAATAAATCAACAAACAACAGGTGCTGGTGAGGGTGTGGTGAAAGGGGGACACTTTTGCACTGTTGGTGGGAATGCAGCCTGGTGCAGCCCCTGTGGAAGGCAGTGTGGGGACACCTCAAAAAATTAAAAACGGATCTGTCTTTTGACCCAGTGATCCCACTTCTGGGAATACATCTGAAGGAACCTGAAACACTAATTTGAAAGAACATATGCATCCCTATGTTCATTGTAGCGTTACTTACAATTGCCAAGATAGGAAACAGCCCAAGTGTCCATCAGTAGAAGAGTGGATAAACCTACTATGGGACATTTACACAATGGAATATTACTCAGCCGTAGAAAAGAAGAAAATTTCACCCTTTGTGACAAGTATGGATGGAGCTAGAGAACATTATGCTAAGTGAAATAAGCCAGTCAGAGAAAGACAAATGCCATATGATTTCACTCATACATGGAATCTAACGAACAAACAGAACTAATAAGCAAAACAGCGACAGAGGAATAGGTGGAGGGCAGATGACAGCTGGTGGGGGAGGGGGAAGGTTAGGGGATAGAAGGTTAAGCAAAAAGGAAAAAGGATTCATGGACATAGGTAACAGTGGGGTGACTGCAATGGCGAGGAGGGTTTAAAGGGACTAAATGGTAATGGAAAAATACAATAAAAAAATAAAGCATATGCCAATCATCAAGTATTAGGAACTCAACTCTATGACACACACTGAAGAGGAAAACGTGAGTGAGATTTCATGCCTGCTCTGGAGGAGCTTACGGTATTTTTCCTCAAGAAGTATTATTCCATATCTTTTGGTGATTTAGCCAACATTGTAAATAGAATAACCTGGGGTGTGTATGTGTCTAGGAACAGAAGTTTTATTTACTGTAATAAAACAAGAAATTATTCACACTATTTAGATGTATTTAACTCTGTGAGTTGCAGGATGGCAAAGATGTTAACACCCACATCTACACTTATTCAATATTAACTCATTAACTATAGCGTGAACAACCTCAGGCAGTGGGAATACCAAGTTAAATGAGATGAAGCCTCTGCTCTAGAAAACGTCACAATCTAGGAGGGACGGCAGACTTTTCAACAACGAAGCGCACGGTTGTGTAATGAATCCTAAAGGAAGACAAAGTTTTCTGACTGTGGCATGGGAAGGGTGAGGGCTCTCTTCTAGACCGGGTCCTGGGGTATCTAGCAAGTTGGCCCTTTTTGCTGATTTTTGAGGGCCCCTTTAAGCACAATGTGAAGAGCAAGGACACAGAAAAGCCCAGAGCACTGAGGCAGCTTGTTGACTCTGTGGCCCACAGTCAACTTTGTGCCCAGAAGCCAAGAAAATAAAATGTCAGTCAAATAAATATGTTGGTTTCCATCAGGCATTAACCAAATATATAATTTAAATTCTACATTAAAATTTTTGTATGGAAAAAAAAATACGGGAAACAGCAGTGTTCAGATATTAGGAACTCCAGAATTTGACCCAAAGTTCCCTAACTTTCATCCCTGCTAAAAAAGCAAATAATATTTTGATGTGACTGTTCCATTTAGCTGTAAAAGGACTGCTAACTTCATGTTCCTGATAAATATTGACACAGCCCAACTGACTCATGTTTATGTTGAAGAGTTCAGAATATGAAGAAACTCAATGACTAGAATACATCGTGGCTGCATTGCATTTCCAAACTTATATTTTCATGTACACACTTTCGTCACCACATTTAGCTATGGGAAGGAGAGATATTTTTCCTCACAGGGCTGTTTTAAAGCACTGTATCTTCCTTGTACTTAACATTCTGTGCTAAATGAAATGATGTCTTATTAAATATCAGGATGTTGAGAGAGAGAGAGATGTGTGTGTATGTATATACATACATACATACATATATTTACAAAAAGAACAGAGTAAGAAATTTGGAAGTGTCTGTAAATTTTACCTCTACAAGTCCCATCCAGTGGATTTGACCCATAACATAGATAAATAAAGCCTTGATCCACTGTCTGGAGGGAACTTAAACCGCAATCCAGATCTTGAAAGAGTCGGACTGACGTTCCAAGCACTTGAAATGAAACCTTTCTGTTACTAAGAAACCTGAAGACAAGTTGCACGATTCTAAGCACTGTGTACCAATGCGATGCAAACTCGTGGTGATTTTGCCAAGTTGGTAAACTTGCCAGCAGAACCCTAGCTTAGGACAAACTTAATAGCCCATCACAGCTCCTGAAACTCCGGCGAAAAGGCTTCGTTGTGAGTCCCTGGCTTCCAGCCCCTGGACCGGCCACAGCGGAGCGGTGTGTTCCCGCGGAGCGCGGGGCTGGAAGGCAGCGCGCCTTGGAGTGGAGCAAAAGGGGCGGATTGAGCTGCGCTGGCCCCGGGGCGCCACCGCCTCGGTCCCACCGCGACTTGCCGCCCGCTAGAGCCCGCGCGAACCTGGGAGCCGGCGTGGCCTCGCAGGGACGCCCGCAGTCGGGAAGAAGCGAGCCAGAATGATTCAAGGGACTCACCCGCTTCTGGACGTGACCTGACGGTTAAGTCGGCTCCACGGCAGCAGTTCGGCGGCACCAGCCCCACGCGGCGCCGCTGCCTGAAAGCCCTCAGCCCACTTCCCCGCCCCAGACCCCGCCTCCGTGTCACCCGCCGGTGCAGCGCCACCTATGGATGCCTCGCGTCCTTACAGCTCCTGCCGTGGGTGGACTATCCTCAGGTCCCACAGGCCAAATTTAAGATTTCCCTTCTGTTGCAACCTGGCCAACCCGTTTTTTTCCATCTCTCAAATAGGCCTGTCCTCTGCCTGAGGTCAGCTACAGTCCTCCCATGCCTCGCCTTTTTTTTGAGCTCCCAAATAATGAACACTAGTGCAATGGTTCTCCAACATTAACGTGTATCAACCGTAGGGTTTATTAGAACACCAATTTGAATCCCCCTGGCACACTCACACATGCACGTACGCGCACACGCTTTCCTGTTCAGTAGGCCTAGGATGGGGCCTGAGATTCTGCGTTTCTAACAAATTCTCAGCATATGCAGAAGCATGCTTAGATCACACTTTGAGATGGACTATTTTAAGGCGCAGTTAGCTCATTTTTACTTTTTTTCTACTGAATTTATTGCAGTACAGGTTTCAAGTGTACAGCTCAGTAAAACATCATCTGCACCCTGCTTCATTGTAAGCCCATCACCCCAGTCTTTTTTACCCCCTGTCACACAAACTGTCGTCTGTGTCTGTGTTTTATGCATAGCATAAGCAATATATGTACGTATATGTGTATATATATGCACATATACGTACATATATACATACAAATATATATCTACACACAAATATATGTCCATATATATTTGCTTAATGCCTTCACTTTTTTCATCTAGTCCCCCACTGCCCCTCCCCTCTGAGGCTTAGTCTGTTCTGTGTATCCATGCCTCTGTTTTTTGTTCATTAGATTCCACTTATTAACTGAGATCACATGCTGATGTTTATGGTGTTTGTCTTTCTCTGACTGGCTTATTTCACTCAGCATGATAATCTCCAGGTCCATCCATGCTGTCAAAAAAGATAAGATTTCCTTTTTTTTAAATGGTGGAGTAGTATTGTATTGTGTAAATGTGCCACAGCTTTTTTTATCCACTCATCTGCTGATGGGCCCTTAGGCTGTTTCCAGCATTTGGCTATTGTAAATAATGTTGCTATGAACATAGGGGTGAATACAGTTTTTTGAATTGGTGTTTTGAGATTCTTAGGATATATTCTTAGAAGTGGGATCTTTGGGTCAAAAGGAAGTTCCATTTTTAATTTTTTGAGAAAAATCCGTACTGTTTTCCACAGTGGTTGCACCAGTCTGCGTTCCCACCAACAGTGCATGGGGATTCCGTTTTCTCAACATCCTCACCAGCACTTGTTTGTTGATTTATTGATGATAATTATTCTGTCAAGCATGAGGTGATATATCATTGTGGTTTTAATTTGCATTTGATTTGATCAGTGATGTTAAGTATCTTTTTAGATGCCTATTGGACATCTGCATGTCTTCTATGGAGAAGCATCTATTCAGGTCCTTTGCCCATTTTTTAATTGTATCATTTGTCTTCCTGGTGTTGAGTTGTATAAATTCTTTATATATTTTAAAAAATTAACCTCTTATCAGATGTTTCATTGGTATATATAGTTTCCCATATGTAAGTTTCCTTTTCATTTTGTTGATGGTTTCTTTTGTTGTGTAGAAGCTTTTTAGTTTGATGTAGTCCCATTTGTTTATTTTTCCCTTTGTTTCCCTTGCCTGAGAAGATATATTGGCAAAACTATTGCTATGAGAGATGTCTGAGATTTTATTGCCTATGTTTTCTTCTAGAATTTTTATGATTTTGTGACTTAAACTTAAGTCTTTTATATATTTTGAATTTATTCTTGTGTATGGTGTAAGTTGGTGGTTTAGTTTTATTTTTTTTGCATGTATCTGTTCAATTTTCCCAACATCATTTATTGAAGACACTGTCTTTACTCCATTGTATGCTTTTGCCTTCTTTATCAAATATTAATTGACTATAAAGGTGCAGGTTTATATCTTGGCTGTCCTGTTCCATTAATCTATTGGCCTGTCCTTATGCCAGTATCAGGCTGTTTTGATTACAATGGCCATGTAGTAGTTTGACATCAGGTAGTGTGTTTCCTCCAACTTTGCTCTTCTTTCTCAAGATTGCTGATTTTATTCAGTGTGTTTTTTTGGTTCCATATACATTTTGGGAATATTTATTCTAGGCCTGTGGAATATGTATTGGTATTTCAATAGGAATTGTGTTAAATTTATAGATTGCTTTGGGTAGTATGAACTTTTTAATGATGTTAATTCTTCTAAGCCAATAATACAGTATATGCTTCCACTTATTTATATCTTCTTCAGTTTCTTTCCTCAGTATCCTATAATTTTCTGAGAACAGGTATTTTACCGCCTTGGTTAAATTTAATCCTTGGTAACTGATATTTTTTGGTTTCAATAGTAAATGCGATTGTTTTGTTAATTTCCATTATTAATGTATAAGAATGCCACCAATTTCTGGATATTAATTTTGTATTCTGCCACTTTGCCAAATTCGTTTATTAGTTCTAGTAATCCTTTTGGTGGAGTCCTTAGGGTTTTCTATGTACAATATTGTGTCATCTGACAATAATGACAGTTTTATTTCTTCCTTTCCAGTTTGGATGCCTTTTATTTCTACTTGTCTGACAACTGTGGCTAGAACTTCCAGTACTATATCAAATAACAGTGGCAAAAGTGGACATCTCTGTTTTGTTTCTGATCTTAGGGGGAATCTTTCAGTTTTGCCCATTGAATATGATGTTGGTAGTAGGTTTTTTGTATATGGCCTTTATTATGTTGAGGTATGATCTCTCTGTTCCCATTTTGTTGAGTTTTTATCATAAATGGGTGCTGGATTTTATAAAATATAAATGCTTCTTCTGCATCTATTGATATAATCATGTGATTTTTATTCTCATTTTGTTTGTGATGCATCATGTTTATTGATTTGCAATATTGTACCAACCTTGCACCCCAAGAATAAATTCCACTTGATTATGGTGTACGGTCTTTTTAATGTATCGCTGGATCTGGTTTCCTAATAGTTTGTTGAGGATTTATCATTTATGTTAATCAGGGATATTAGTCTATAATTTTCTTTCTTTTTAGTGTCTTTATTTGGTTTTGGAATTAGGATGATGCTGGCCTTATAAAATGAGCTTCAAAGTCTTCTCTCTTTAGTTTTTGGATTAGTTTGAGAAGGGTAAGCATTAGTTCTTTGAATGTTTGGTAAAATTTGCCTGTGAAGACATTTGGTCCAGGACTTCTGTTGCTGGGAGTTTTTTGATTGTTGCTTTGATTTTATTAGTTTTAATTAATTTATTCAGTTTTCAAAAATTTTACCTGATTCAATTTTGGAGGACTGTATATTTCTAGAAATTTATCCATTTCACCCAGATTGTCTGATTTGTTGTTACATAGTTGTTCACAGTATTGTCTTATAATCTTTTGTTTCTGTGGAGTCAGTTGTTACTTCTCCTCTTTCATTTCCCATTTTATTTATTTGTGTCTTCTCTTTTTTTTCTTGATGAGTCTGGTTGAAGTTTCTTCAGTCTTGTTTATCTTTTCAAAAAGACAGCTCTTGGTTTCATTGATCTTTTGTATTGTGTTTTTAGTCCCTATGTCATTTATTTCCACTCTGATCTTTATTATTTCCTTCTTTTTATTTACTCTGGGCCTTGTTTGTTGTTTTTTTCCAAGTGCTTTTAGGTATAGGGTTAGATTGTTTTTTGAAATTTTTCTGGCTTCTTGAGGTAGGCCTGTAATGCTATATGAACTTCCCTCTCAGGACTACATTAGCTGTGTCCCATAGATTTGAGGTTTTTGCATGTTCATTTTCATATGCCTTTTGATTTCTCCCTTGATCTCATTGTTAAATTATTCATTGTTTAATAACCTGCTATTTAGATTTAGCCACCATGTGTTTGAATGTTTTTCAGTATTTTTATTGTAGTCATTCTTCTAGTTTTACAACATTGTTGTCAGAGAAGGTGCTTGATATAACTTCAATCACCTTGAATTTATTAAGACTTATTTTGAGTTGTAACATGTGGTTTATCTTTGAGAATGTTCCAGTGCACTTGAGAAGAAAGTATATGTTGCTGCTTTGGGATGAAATGCTCTGTAAATAATAATTAAATCCATTTGATCCATTGTGCCATTTAAGGTTGCTCTTGCCTTGTTGATATTTTTTCTGGAAGTTCTATCCATTGATGTCGGTGGAGTGTTAAAATCCCTTACGATGACTGTATTACTGTCAAATCTCCATTAATGTGCACCAAGATTTTCTCTATACATTTGCATACTCCTATATTGGGTGCATATATGTTTACAAGAGTTATATCCTCTTGTTGGATTGATCCCATTAGTATTATGTAGTGACCTTTGTCTCTTGTTACTGCCTTTATTTTGAAGTCTATTTGTCTGATATAAGTATAGATAACTCAGCTTTTTTGTTGCTTCCATTTGCATGGAATATTATTTTCTATCCCTTCACTTTCAGTCTGTGTAGATCTTTTGTTCTTGGGTGGGTGTCTTATAGACAGCATATATATGGGTCATGTTTTCTTATCCATTCAGCTACCCTATGTCTCTTGATTGGTACATTTAGTCCATTTACATTTAAGTTAGTTACTGCCATTTTACTCTTTATACTTATATTCCTCTCTCTCTATTTCTTCTTCTTAAAGCACTACCTTGAACATTTCTTAGAATACTGGTTTGGTGGTAATGAGCTGCTTTGTTTTTTTAATTTTTTTTGTCTATGAAGTTCTTTATTTCACCTTTAATTTTAAATATAACTTTGCTGAGTAGAGTAGTTTTTGTTGTAGGCCCTTGCTTTTCATCACTTGACTATTTCATGCCAATTTCTTCTCACCTGCAAAGTATCTGTTGAGGAATTAGCTGAAAGCTTGTATGGGAGCTCCCTTGTAGGTAACTAACTATCTCTCCCTTGCAGCTTTTAAGATTCTCTCATTTTCATTAA